CTTACCTCCTTTAATATTCGCTAAGTGTTTCTGCGTGTCACGAGCGTCCTCCAAACGGGGCTTCAATCACCTTCCCATCAGGGGCCTTCCTACAGGGGGTCACCATACGGGGCCTTCTGACGCGCGCCTCCGAAGCTCAAGGACGCGCGAATGTGATTCCACTCTTTACGTGGAGTGCGGCCGTCGATAGCGCGTCGGGCCTCGCGCTCGTGAGACATGGGAAACGCGGAGTAATCGCAGGCAAGGGAACCTTGGAGATGGGAGGCGGTGGAAGCAGTAAAAGAAACGAGAGCAAGACAAACCCATCAACATCATTGTTCCGATGCAGAAACTGGCAGCATTGCTCCTGCTGGCTTGGCCAGACAAACAGCGGTCGATGATGCTGCAGAAGATGCGGCTGCGACTGCGCCACAAACTGAATCTCGTGACATAAGTCACCCTTGCTCCAACTCGCCGCCAAGTTAAAAAAAAAACGTCCGGTGACCTCGGGCTGGTCGTCGGCTTCTCTGGGGGTGTCCTCGCCAAGGTCCGAAGGTATGATGGCGCCGCCAGCTAGCGAAAGCTGCCGGCTGTGCCGAAGCGCCTTCCTGATCGCGCGGCGGGCACGGATGAGGGCGAAGGTGGGAGGGGAAATGCGTGGATTTCTGGGGCGGACTGAGTTTTTTGCCGAAAGCAAGAATCGTGGCCTGACGAATGGTGCTCGCAACTTGAGCATGCTGGTCGTTCAAATTTTGGCCCCAGGGCTGGAGGTCGGCCTGGCTGAGGGCCGACGCAAACATAGAGCGCGCAACAGGGTCCGAAAACTTGATGGCGCCCACTCTTGGGTCGTGAGCTCCCTCCTTCTTAAAAGTCGGGCTCCAGCCAAACGTAGCCATCAGCGGAAAATGGTCATCCGCTTCTCGCGTGCTCTTCCAGTTGTGAGGAACATAGGTATCACGAAGGGTTTGGAGGCAGCGCTGCCGGGGATTTTTTTATATAAAGAAAGAAGACGTGCGCCAATCCCCTCTGCAACAAGAAGTGTCGGCGGCAGCGAGCTGATGGGCGAGGGGTGGGTGGGCGGGTGTAACGCCTTGCCCTTGGCGTCTTCCTCCGACCTGGGCCCATCGGTTGAAGCCGCAGGGCCAGGGGTCGCACCGACCCTTCCATTCCCATCCATATAGCAAAGATCCGCTGGCCACCGTTGTAGCAAGGCGTCTAAATCCCTCCAAAACTGTCCCCGAGCCATGGTGCCATCACCCATGTGAGGGGCGTGGCAAACATATAGGGTCAGAGCCAAGGCGGGGGCGGACAACTTAGCAACCAGGATGCGAGAGGAGAGATGGAGCAGCTGGACATGACGCCGAGCAAGGCAAAGGGGGGTGCTACCACGCTGAGCATAAGGGAGGACGATGTTGACCCATAATTCCCCCCCCCCAAGTTAAACTGATCGTACCCTACCGCAAGCACAACATAATCGCTTTGGCGTCTAGTCCCTTGCCCGTTGCGACCCCCCTGAATGCCAGCAAGGTGGGCGCGCTCCCCTGCGAGCTGGGTGCAGCCAAGATGTTGGCGAGCAGCGCGCTTCCTTCCTCGAGTGCCCCTCATCGCGCCCGTTCGAAAAGATTGGGCATTGAAGGTCGCGGTGGCGAGCTGGACCTGCACGGGCTTAGCTGGGTGGGGCGCGACGGCCTGGTCCACATCTTTAAATTCAGTGCGGCCAGAGGCCGCAGCGCTCCCACGCTCAGGCACGGGGTCCCCTTCAGAGACCCAAGACCGGCACCCCAGAGTCACCCGGGGATAATCATCGCCTTGCAGCTTGCCTTCGCGCTGGGCCAAGTCCAACCACTCCCAGGCCCAACTAGGGCCGCGCCTCGCACCCTCCACCCATTGAGGAGGTATGTTAGGGGGGGGGGGGGGGAGCAAGATGTCGGGGGCAGTGGCTCTAGCCAACTTATCCGCGGGCGCATTCCAGTGGAAGCCAGCGTCGGGCTTCTCGCGCGCGATAGCATGCCGTCGCCGCATGTCCACAAGCTGCCGAGCGACCCTAGTCAGGCAAGCAAAAGAAAGAAGTGCCACTTTTCAGGATTTGGGTTCCCTCCGCAGCGCTGATCGCGCAGAGCGGGTCACTGACAATAACATATTCCACATCATCAGACGGGGCAGATGAGAATCCACGGGCTGGCCCACATGATGGTAGGAGTTCAAGAGTCGTGCTAGTTGCTTCCGACGGGGTCATTCCCATGGTGTTGGTCTCTTAGATGCTCCAGGCTGAGATGCCAAGGGGGTTCTCAGCCACCATCGCAAAGGCCCGGGCAACTTTGGGGGGAATGGGACCCGTCAGTGTACATAGTGAACTTATGGGGACGATGACCCTAGGTGGGGCCAAGGTCAGAGCAATTCTTGGGGCATCCGCCAACAGGCCCGGGTCTCGAGAGCGATCTTAAGAAACGGGGCGGGAACGGTGGAAAGCGCGAAGAGGGTGGGCGGAATAACATTCGCGGAAGCTCTCCGCTGGGAGCCCGGCGCCTGAAGCCTGGACATGGCGCTCTCGAGCGCGCTCCCCTCTCTCGTTCTCCTCCCGACAAGCTTCTTCCCGACTGCGCCCCGCCCCCTGCGTTCGTGGCGGGCATCGGGCACGGTCGAACTATCGTGGATGCCATCGCGCTGATGCGACCGACGATGGGCAGGGCGTTTTCCTGACATGAGCGCCCGCCGACTGGCTGGCGAGGGGGGGCCCAAACGGGGTCGCGGGATTTCGTCTCCGAGGGGCAGGGGGGTCTCCCCGAAGACGCACGCCAGCGGACGCCCGAGGAGGAGGGGAGCAAAGTTCGTCATCTAACTCATGATCATAGAACCCGCTGCGTGGCTCAAAATATCTAACTTCCCAAATGCCCCACTGTATCTTCGGGCAGGCCTGCTTGAGGGGGGCGGCCGCCTGGCCCCCTGCCCCCCCCCCTCCCCCCCAGCGTCGTCGGGGGGGCCGCGCAGGGCAAGCGCTGCCCGAGCGAACGCAAGTTGCATCGTACTAAGTATGAGCGTGCAGCCAGCCGCGGCCGCGCGCTGGCCGAGAACCTCCGAAGTCCCGTGGAGGTTCAAGCTATCGAATTGAAATAAAGAGTGGGGCGGCACAGGCGGAACAGGCGAGCGCGGCTGCTCAATCGCTGACCCTGGTAGTGCTTGCTCATTGTGTTCTGATTTCGTGTAGTTCATGTTGGCTTCGCCGATGTCGTAGCTCTTGGCATCGTCCTCAGAGCGATTCGAAACTCGCCCGGATTGTCGGGGCCCTTTGATTGTTTGTGCCGCGCGTGTGGCCGCAGGCTGCATGGAAGCTATGTTGTACTTGACCATGGCCAACTCCTCTAAAGTGTCCTCGTCCTCGCTGCCACTCCTCCGCGTGGCTAGGGCCAGGGTGGCAAGGATCTCGGCCCTCTGCGCCATGTCCTTCTTGTAGGCCTCCATCTGCGCGGGCGTCGTGGGCGGACGCAGGTAATTATTGTGTTTCTCCGCGTTCTCCTCGGAGGCCTGCGGAGTCGTGTCGATCAGCTGGCGGACTTCGTTGCTTGCGGTTGGGCCTCTGCGGTCTTTCTGCGGACGCGCCCTGTGCTCGATGCCCGCGTAGTTCTGCGGCGGAGGGCCGTGCCGCTGGCGTCTCGAACGTGACGGCGTGCGTGGGCGATCTTGGCGGCGTCCACGACTTGCAGAGCGATGCCACCACTTGTGCCCACACCAGCAGCGCCAAAATTGAGATGAATTGAGACGATTGTACCTCTCGAATTTCCAATCATTCGATGACATGCGATGGGGTCGAAGCTTGCCAATATGTTCTGAAGCGGGGCGTTCCGCTTGGGTCAAGAACCAGGAAATGTGGTAGAGAGGACACGACAAGATGCCGAAATCAGGCCAATCTACGGGCGAGACCGTGGTGCCTACCTACCCTTTATGGCCTTAGCTCACTGTCGAGCCACCTCGACAATGGCGGCGGACTTGAGCCAAAATGGCTTGAGCCCAAATGGCTACGGACCTCCTCCTCCTCCTCCTCCTCCTCCTCCTCTTCCTCCTCCTCCCCCTCCTCCTCCTCCTCTTCTTCTTTCCCCTCCCCCGCCCCCCGTCCCCCGTCCCCCGTCCCCCATTTCCCGTCCCCGTCCCCGTCCCCCGTCCCCCGTCCTCCCCCCCCCCGCCCCGCGTCTCCCGTCCCCCCCCCGTCACCCGTGTCCCGTACCTGTCCCCGCCCCCGCCCCCGTCCCCTCCCCGTCCCCGTCCCCGGTCCCCGTCACCGCCCCTTTCCCCGTTTCCCCCGCCCCGTTCCCCCCGTTTCCCCCTTTCCCCGTTTCCCCCCCGTTTCCCCCGTCCCCCCTCCCTCCCCGCCCCCCGTCCCCCGTCCCCCGCCCCCGTCCCCCGTCCCCGTCCCCGTCCCCGTCCCCCGTCCCGTCCCCGTCCCGTTCCCCGTCCCCGTCCCCGTCCCCGTCCCCGTCCCCGTCCCCGTCCCCCTCCCCCTCCCTTTCCCCCCTCCCCCCCTCCCCTCCTCCTCCTCCTCCTCCTCCTCCCTCCTCCTCCTCCTCCTCCTCCTCCTCCTCCTCCTCCTCCTCCTCCTCCTCCTCCTCTTCCCTCGTCCTCGTCCTCGTCCTCGTCCTCGTCCTTCTCCTCCCTCCTCCGGCAACGCAGCGCAACGCCGTGGCCCCCAGCGGAGCCAGCAAACGGATGGGACGGGTCTCTGCGTAGCAGTCGGGTCCCTTCTCTTTCTGGACAGTTGTTGTGGCGGCCCAGGGCCCGAAGCGGGATCGGCGGAGGCCGAAGCTGTCCTGGACGCCGTCGTGTTCGTGGTCGTGGTCATCGCCGCCGCCGCCGCTAACAACGTCGTCGTCAACGTCGTTGTCGTTGTCGTTGTCGTCGTCGTCGTTGTCGTCGTCGTCGTCCCTGTCGTCCCCGTCGTCCCCGTCGTCGTCGTCGTCGTCGTCGTCGTCGTCGTCGGCGGCGGCGGCGGCGGCGGCGGCTGGCGGCGGCCTACTACTGGCGGCGGGTGCCTTCGGCTGCAGCGCACGCTGGTCCTGGTCGTCGTTCCAACAGAAGCACCGCGAGGTCTGCCCGCACACCGCGGAGCCCATGCGGCTGCGGAGGCCCCTGCGGCGGGGGCGGCGTTTTTCCGCTCGACGCCACCGTCGGGTCGTCGTCGCTGTCGTCGATGTCGGGGCGGCGAGGGGCGAAGAAGGGCGATGAGGGGGGGATGAGGGGGAGGGGGCGGGGGGGCGATGAGGTGCGCGGGGGGGGAGGGAAGAGGGGGCGAGGGGGAGGGATGGGGTGCAGTGGGTGGGGAGGGGTGGGGGGGCGGCAGAGAGGGGAAATGGACAACACATTAGGTACGCTCTCGCTATACCTGGGATTTTACTCCTTCAACCCATCCATTCCCATTGCGCTGTTGTTTGTCAAGATCTGCCGACGCGTGTCATAGCAGCCCTGGAACTGGAACGAGGACCCCATCGTATTATGCGCAAGTGAGGAACAGGCAACTGCATACGTTAGAGGAGGAGGAGGTGGCGGATGAGCCAGGGGATGAGCAGGATGGAAAGGAGGAGGATGGGGAATGAGGGAGGACGAGGACGAACAGGAGGAGCAGCAGGAGCTGAAGTGGAAGGAGCAAGAGGAGCAGGAGGACCAGGGGAAGGCGGAGGAGGGGAAATGCGAGGGGCGACAGCGATGAAACTTGACTCGGATCCAGAAAAGTGGCCTACGCTGGGGAAAGCTCGCCATTCTGAACGACGGAAGCAACGCGCCGATCCGAAAACGAGGCCCATGCTGCAGCGTGAACACCATGCTGAAACACCGAAGACAATCGGATTTCCAACACTATGGGACATGCCACGTCTTGAAACCCAATGCGTGCAGGTACAATGCGCGGAGAGGGTCAACCATCTTCCGGGCTGAGTCAAGGGATCGCGGGGAGCACTATTCATACTGTCGGACCTGAGACAGAAGAACATCCTTCAAGAACATGAGACCCTCCGCTGGCCAAACTGAAAAACATTCGAGCGTACCCTCCCCCAAGATGCACCATAGCATCCAACACGCACGACGAATATCAAAGTACCCTCCCCGAACGGACCTCGATCTTACACCTCGGTCCGGCCGTACTCCGAATGTGCATGTGTGGAGGAAGGGGAGATGGGGGCGAAGAGGGGGAGGAATGTGAGGGGACGCAAGGGGGGGGGCGAGAGAGAGAGAGAGAGAAAGAGAAACAAAAAAGAGAGCGCTGGAGGCCGCGTGCGTGGCAGTGCCCCTATCGCAGCCTCCCCCCCTCGCTCTGGCTGTTATGATGCTGCTCATGATGCTGTTTATGATAATAGTGAGGATGATGCTGACGATGCTGATGATGCTGATGCTGATGCTGATGATGCTGATGCTGATGCTGATGCTGATGATGATGATGCTGATGCTGATGCTGCTGATGATGATGATGATGATGATGATGATGATGATGATGATGATGATGATGATGATTAGGATGATGATGCTGATGATGATGATGATGATGATGATGATGATGATGATGATGATGATGATGATTGTGATGTTCATGTTGTTGATGATGATGCTGTTGATGACGATGATGATGGGGGAGGAGGAGCAGGAGGAGCAGGAGGAGGAGGAGGAGGAGGTGGCCCCCTCGCAGTGGGGCGACTGCTGGCGCTCGGCGGCGCGCCGCGGGGAAGCCTCGGGCTCGACGGGTTCGGGCGCTCTCGTCGGCTCTGGGCGGTCCACCTGGCCCCGCGATGCGCAGCGGGCCAGCGGCTGCGCCCCGCACGGGGGCGACTGCTGGCGTTCGGCGGCGCGCCGAGGGGGAAGTTTCGGGCTCGCGGTGCTCGGCAGCTTTTCGGCTTGGGGCTTTGGGTCGGAGGTGCCCACGGGGTCCCCGCTGGGCCACGCGAAGGCAGCGCGGGTGGGCCCAACCGCCAAACTTCGAGTCTCGTGCCGCTGCGGCGTGCTGCCGCGCGCCTGGGAAAAGCTTTGAGCCGCGTGGTGCCGCCATCTCCCCGCTGCCCGTGCCCACCTCGAGCCGGGGAGTGTCGGGTTCGAGGGGCTCGGGCGTTCTCATCGGTTCTCGGCGGTCTTCCAGCCGCGGGATGCGTTCCAGCGGCTGCGCCTCGGCGAAGACGTTCCAGGGGTGCCTGAATCGTCCCGAGCGGCAGCTGGATACCCGAGTTACGACCCACACCAAACTCGGCGGCGCGCCCAGGGGAAGTGAGAAGGGGCAGGCCTTCTCAGAAGGCGGCGGGGCTTCTCCGAACAGCCTGGCCTTCTGAGAGGCCCTCTGCGGCTTCGGAGAAGGCTTCGAAAACCTCGGGGCACGACGGGCCACACGTCACGGTCTCCTGTGCGTCTCCCGGACGGTTGCCACTGAAGGTGCTGGGCTGGCACGTTGTCGGGACTTGCCGCAAGCATTCGGATAACATTGCATGCAATCCAATCGGGCTGCCGAAATAAAGAACGACACATGAGAAACGCAACCCCTCTTCTTCCGAGTCGAGCAATGCGATCCGAAGGAACGATCGCAAACTCCGAAGGAGCACCGAAGGGGCTCGCCACAAAAAAGCAACGCACGCAAACCTCAGGAACAACCGAGCCCCTTCCGACCTCGAGCTTAGGGGAACAACAAGTCACATAAACATAACAACTCGGACGTCCGCGCGGACTTCTCGGATCGACGCTGGTCCCCCCTCCCTGGCGCGCGGAGCGCGCCAGGGGCAGCGCCGGAGGCACCGCCGGGGGGCCCCAACGCCGATCCGAGAAATCCTCGCGGACCTGCGAGTTTTTATGTTTATGCCACTTTCTGTTCCCCTGCTCCTTTCAACGAGCGGGCCACGCCGTGTCCTTCGTGCGCTTGCCGTGCTCGCGCGCCGCTGCAGCCGCCAGTCGAGTCCTGCCTGGGCCCCGGCGGGGCGCCCCGCCCTGGCCCGCGCACGGAGAGCCGGAGACGGCACGGCCCCGCGTGCGCCTCGCGGGTCGGACTCCCCCCCGCGTCGCCTCGCGGGCGGGGACTTTGGTGGGCACCCCGCCGATCCCCCCGAAGAGGGGGCAGAAGAAGTCTACGGGCGAGGCCCTCTCCCTGCGTGACAGACATTGAAGGAGGAGGGAGGAGGGAGGAGGAGGAGGAGGAGGAGGAGGAGGAGGAGGAGGGAGGAGGGAGGAGGAGGAGGAGGAGGAGGAGGAGGAGGAGGGAGGAGGAGGAGGAGGAGGAGGAGGAGGAGGGAGGAGGAGGAGGAGGGAGGAGGGGAGGGGGGGGAGGAGGAGGAGGAGGAGGGGCCCTCTCGAGGCCCCTTCTGGGCCTCGGGCCTCCTGCGCCTGCTGGCGTGCTCGGGGGTCCTCTCGCGGGGGATATCGCGGTCCCGTCGTGTGGCGGGGCCCGCGTGCAGGGGCCGTGCTCGAGGACGAGGATGGGGAGGAGGAGGAAAAGGAGGAGGAGCAGGAGGAGGAGGAGGAGGAGGAGGAAGAGGAGGAGGAGGACGAGGAGGAGGAGGAGGAGGAGGAGGAGGAGGTGGAAAGGGCGGCGGAGTTCCGATTTCAGCGGGCGACCCCCGAGAGACGTCGAGAGGATGATGCTGATGCTGATGCTGATGACGGCCACTTCCATGCCCCGTGCCCGGCCTGCCACTTTTCGCGAGTCGCTCTTCTTCAAGATTCTTCATGGGTGGTTCCCACCTCGTTCCATCCCTAAAGATGGGTTCAGATATACCTTTTTATCCTGAAGAGAACTTGGTAGTCTCGCCCTCCACTTCCCTGTCTCTCTCTCTCTCTCTGTCTTTTCCTCTTCCTCTTCTTCACTCTTGCTCTTCTCTTCTCATTTTCCCCATCTAGACCTCTCGCACTCTTTCTTCTCCTCCCCTATCTCTCTCTCTCTCTTCCTCTCTACTATTATGTGATCTCTTTTTTTGTCGTCATCGTCGTCCTCCTCCTCCCGCTTGTCCTGCTGCCTGGCCGAGTTCCCACCCTCCGGGAGGGCCGGTGAGCAGCATGCCCCCCCTCCAGGCGACGGACGCGGGGCTTGCTCGAGCCAGAACTCGCTGGGACAACGTGGAGCCAAGGGACAACTTGGAGCCAAGGGGAGGGGAGGACGAGGAGCAGGGGAGAAAGTAGCGCCAGAGGAGGAGGAGGAGGAGGAGGACGGTGCAAGACTTCTCCGCGCGCGCACTGCCCCTGGGGGGCGACGCACACATAATATCATCATGTTGGGGTGACGACGACTTCCCGTCCTCGGCGCGCCGTCCCGCCAAGCCCCCGTCTTCGAACCGCCGGTCGGGCCCCGCCGCCCACCAGCGAGGCAAGGGCCCACGGAACTCTGCCCGTCGCCCGCCGAAAGGGCCCGGGGAGCTCGCGGGGGTCCTTGAAGGTTGAACTCTCACTTCTGAAGAATAATGATTGTTGATCCCCCCCATCCGGTGCACATTGTTTTCTTCGATTGAAGTGCCCTTCCCGGGGCTCGCACCCTTTTTTAATCAGGGAAAGTCTTGAGGGTCAAACTGCGTTGTTGGCCCTCGGTTTACAACAATAGCGGTTCCCGCCTGATACTCCTTCACAATTTATTGAAGAATCGCGCCCTCGCTTGGGATTTCATTGCAATTTACCACCGGGTCGCGGCTCCCGCTTGATACTTCCTCACAATGTATTAAAAATTCTTGCTTGGGACTTATTCGCCGGCCCAACGGGCCAGAGGCGTGCTAAGGTCTCCAGTAACTGGTTAACAGTATCTCTAGTTCGCGCGCGCGGGGCGGCCCCTGGGGGTCCCCGGACGAAAAGTACCCCGGGCGATCCCCGACCGACCCCCGAGCGATCCCCGGGAGACTCCCCCAGAGCGCTCCAGGAGCGCTCCAGGAGCGCACCAACAGGGCTCCGAGACGTCCCCGAAACCCTCAAGACGGGTCCAGATGCCCCCAAGAGGCTCCCAAGATGGTACACAAGGGTTCCGAGATGCCACATGATCGCTCCAAGACGCCCAAGATGGCCCCCAGACGCCCCAAGAGGCCTCCAAGAGCACTCCCAAAAGGGCCCCAAGAAGCAAAATTCATAGCTTTTCCTTAGGTTTTTGAGAGATTTTGGAGCTTCCACCTTTTCGGCTTCCCGACGCCCCAAGACGGCCCAAGAGGCCCCCAAGATCGCCCCAAGAGGGCCCAAGAGGCCCCCAAGAGGGCCCCAAGATGGCCCAAGAGGGCTCGAAGACGGCCCAAGAAGCCTCCAAGACGGTCCAAGAGGGCCCCAAGAACGCCCCCAAGGGGGCCCCAGAGAGGGAACACGAAACAACATTTCGAGCCCTCGGCCCTAAGAAGCCCCCACGAGGCCCCAAGAGGCCCCTAAGAGGCCCCAAGAGGCCCCCACGAGGCCCTCAGGAGGCCCCCAAGAGTCCCCCAAGCGGCCCCAGGAGGCCCCCCAAATGCCCCCCCGAGCGCCCCAGGAGTCCCCCAAGCGGCCCCAGGAACCCCCAAAGCGCCGCATTGACACCAGGCCCTCGGGCAAACGGCAGACATGAGACTGTATGGGCCGGCGGAATGAGCGAAGCGATTAAATTAAACATTCTTGCTTGGGACTTCCTCGCGACTTAGTTGGCCCGCTGGTATCGGCCCGCTAGTTTGCGTTGGCGCGTAGTCCTCGGTCCGCCGTCTCGCCCCCTGCTGCTGCTGCTGCTCCTCCTCCGTCTCCCCGGCCTCCTTCCTTCGTTCCTTCCCTCCCTTTCTTCTCGCTCTCCCCCCCGTCCGCTGCGGGCCAAACCTCGCAGATGGATGCCGGGAATGCGTGCGATGCTCAAGTGGCCCCCCCTGCCCCCCTCTCCTCCTTACCCTCCCCCTCTCCCTCCCCTCGCCCTCCTCCTCCTCCTCCTCCTCCTCCTCCGCCGATTCTTCCTCTCCCTCTTACTGCTGCTGCTCCTCCTCATCCTCTCCCTTCTTGCCCGCCTTTTTCATTGCGTCCTCCTTCTTTATTCGCCCCCTTCCCTCCTACCTCGTCCTTCCTCTCACCCTTCCTTTTCCTTGAAGGGGGGGGGTCCGGACCGCCCCCCCCCCCTCCCACCGTTGGCGCTGGAAAAAGGGGGTGGGTTCGAACCCCATCCCCCCGTCCCCTCCTTTGCGCCGAACAGGGGGCTGGGGAGGGGGCCTCTCGGGTAGTGAATGACAAATAAAATGTTTTGAATAGCGATTGGCGAGTCGTGGGTATTTGATAGTGGGTAGTGCGCAGTGAGTCGTAGGTGGTGAATAGTGGGTAATGGGTAGTGGTAGCAGTGAGTACGCGCTTGTGCAGCAATCGCGCTCTCGCGTGAGACTTCTTATCAATTTGTTCAGACGCCGCGTCCTCGACACTCAGGAATCACGCTCTCGCTTAGGCGTTCGTCACGCCGACCAGCGTGCAATCGAAATTCCCCACACACAAACACATACACGATTTTTTTTTCATCTCTCCCTTGAGCTGGGCCCTCGTGTAGAAATTCGCAGCGCCGCGACTCGCACTCCACTCGTTTCCTCCCTCCCCCTCCCCTCACTCTGCCGTCCGCATGTCTGTTTCGGCGCACCCTTCACACGCTTCGTGCCCGCATAGGAGTGGTTCCCCCGCCCGATGTCGACACATCCCTCACACCTGTCGTGCCTTCTAAGGAGCTACACCGAAGGCCCCAGTGGCACGATTTACATGGTGACCCGCCCAATTTCTGCACACCCCTCACTCGTTTCGTGCCCCAAAGGGAGCTACACCCAACGCCCCCGTGGCAATGTTCGCATGGATACCCGCCCCAGCACGGCGCATCGCTCACTCGTTTCGCGGCCCTCTGGGGAACTACGCTGAAAACCCACGTGGCAGAGTTCGCACGGTTAGCCGCCTCACTTCGGCGCATCCCTCACTCGTTTCGCGGCCCTCTAGGGAACTCCACCGATCGCCGCAGTGGCAAGGTTCAAGTGGTGCCCCACCCAGCTTCGCCACAACCTTTGCACGCTTCGTGGACCTTTTGGAAGCTCCACAAAAGGCCTTACTGGCAATATTCGCATGGTGTTCCCCTCCAGTACCCATCAAGCGGCTCACCGAATGCCCGAATTGCAAGGTTCGCATTGTACTCCGCCCCGCGTCGGCGCACCATTCACACATTTCGAGGCCATCTAGGGAAGGCCACAACACGACCCCAATGGCGCAGTCCGCATGGAGTCCCCGTGTCGGCACACCTGGCCCTCGTTTCGCGGCCCCGTGGGGAACTCCACCGAAGGCTCCAATGGCAGGGTTCGCATGGTTGGGCTCGCCCCTGCTTGCCAGACCCCTCTCACCGTTCGTGGGAAATTGGGAGCTCCACCTAAGGCCCAACTGGCTGGATTAAGATGGTGCCCCGCTCCGTTTCGGCACATCCCTCACGCTCTTCGTGGCCCCATAGGAACCTCCACCGAAAGCCCCAGTGGCAAGTTTACATGGTGTCCCGCCCATGTCGGCACACCTCTCATTCGTTTCGTGGCCGTACATGGGGCTCCATTGAACGCGTTACGGTGGATGCGTTCGCATGGCGTGGCTCCGCGCCACTTCGGCACACCTTCGTGATCACCCTGTTTGCGATTTGAGTCGCGGGAGTGCATGCGTGCATGGGAAACGTTGGGTGCGGTCTGAAGTTCGTCGGCGAGGCTTCCCAGGGTACTTCCGATTCTTTAGTTTGTGCGTGTGTGATATATCATATGTTCATGGCCACCACGTGTGGAGAAAAATGGTTGGGCTCTCCACCCGTTTTCTTGTTTCTCAGAGATACAACATATAACCAATAGGGGGATCGAGGGCTGCGGCGACATGGTGCAAACAACGCTGCATATTTAGCGTGCTACCGGCACAAACAACACACTTCGGTCTTCTCCCGTCACTTTCGTCGTCGTCCACTGCCCCCCGCCACCTTCCTTCTGCTGGTGCCGCGCTGACGGTTCAACCACCCATGCGTCCTTTTCCTGCCCTTCGTTCCGGCCCCGTGTCTTCCTCAAGCCTGGGCCCTCTCTCCTCGTCCTTGTGTTGTTGTCCTGTGAATCGCGACGCGTGGCCGTTCCCATGTAGTTTGCGTAACATATAGCGGCGCCTGTACCCGCATTGTCCTGGGAAGTTTGGGCCAACCCCTCTTGCCACTTGATGTACATGGGTTGGGTACCTCACAGGGCAATGTGTTCCCAGCGGCAGCCCTTCCACGTTGGGTATTCGTTGTGAATAAAGCCCTGTGGTCTACGTCATTCCTCCTCCTTCTCCGCCTCACTCTTCCTCTGATCCTTTTCGCGTGCCTCCCAGCTCGCTCTTTCCTGCGTGCCAGGTTGCTTGATACCTGGCCATCCTTGGGGGGCTGCGATCTGCGAAACAGTCATCAGTTTCGCGGGCTCCTGGGGGCTCCAGCGGAGCGACGTCCCACCCAGCTTCAAATGAGACCTCGCCATCACTGGGGGGCTGCGATCTGCGAGATGGTCGCCACTTTCGCGGGCTGCTGGGGGATCAAACGGAATGACGTCCCACCCATCTTCAAATGAGACCTCGCCATGCCTGGGGGCTGGGATCTGCGAAGCGGTCGCCACTTTCGAATGCTGCTGGGGGGTCCTGCGGAATGACGTATTGCCCGGACTCAAATGAGACCTCGCCATCCCAGTGGGACTGCGATACGCGATTATGCTGCCATTTTCGAAGTTCCAGCGGAGTGTCCTACCCGGACTCAAATGAGACCTCGCCATCACTGGGGGGCTGCGATCTGCGAGCCTTTTCGCCACTTTCGAAGGTTGCTGGTTGGCCCAGCGGAGTGACATCGTACTCAGATTCAGATGAGACCTCGCCATCCCTGTGGGGCTGCGATTTATATTTTTTTTCATTCACGAGGGCTGCTGGGGGGGTCCAGCGGAGTCCTTCCCAAACTCAAATGAGACCTCGCCACCGCTGGGGGTTGCGATCTGCGAAGCCGTAGCCACTTTCGAAAGCTGTTGGGGGGTCCAGGGTCCAGGGCAGCGGCGTCCTACCCAGACTCAGATGGAACCTCGGGGCTGCAATCTGTGAGATTGTCTTCATTTTCGAAGGCTGCTGGGGGGTCCAACGGAAAGACGTTTTACCCAAATTGAGAAGATACCTCGCCATCCCTGAAGGGCTGCGATATGAAAAACAATGTCGTCATTTTGGATGGCTGCTGGGGGGTCCCGC